TGGCTACATGTCACCAGATGCCTTAGCATTACAGTTAGCAAATGTCTTGCACAAGCCTGAAGGAGACAAATTTAATGTCAAGTGATAATTTTTAAAACAATGAAGACTACAAGATAATCTGATAAAGTGTTAAAGAAATTTAAACATTGGCAAACATCTTCAATAAGGCTGTTAATGCAGTGGTTCGAAATCTGAATGATTCAATAAAGTCATCTAATTGGAAAGGTTTAACCAAAGAAATGCACTGACATCAGCTTCATGCAAGAAAGCTCATTAAGAATGCTCATGATCTGAAAGAATTAATTAAAGAGCATGGGAGACTGGGTTGTTTGTCTGAGGCCAATTAACATTTCAGAGAAAACCATCTAAGTAGATTTGGAATTAAGTCACCAGTTGTCCCTATGCCTACAGAAAGCAAAATTAATCTTTGGTGTAATTTCACTGAAATAAGCAAAATTACATCACATTGGTTTGGCCCATGGTCTTTTAGGATCTGTTATATGGCAGCTAGACACTTGCAGATGGCCTTTGCCAGTTGATTCGGGGTCACAGGGCTCGGGTTTTGGGACTGATAAATTGAAGTGTAGACTTCCAGGCTCAGGCTGCAACCTGAGCTCTGGGACCCTCCCACCTTGCAGGTCCTGGAGCCAGGGCTCCAGCCCAATCCCAGAAGTCTGCAGTGCAATTAAACAGGCCTGCAGTCTGAGTCCTGTAAGCCCAAATCAGCTGGAATAGGCCAGTCCCTAGTGTCTAACTGCAGTGTAGACATACCCTTAGGATAGCTGCATTCTGTCTGTCAGTATATTCTTCATAGAGAAAGAATGTCAGAATGGTAATGTCTGATATTTTTTGTTCCTGGAAAATTTGCAGACAGTGAAAGTACAAGGGAATGACATCTCCCACAAGCTGCAGATTTCAAAAGTGAGGAAAAAGGATGAAGGCTTGTATGAGTGCAGGGTGACAGATGCCAACTATGGAGACCTTCAGGAATACAAGGCCCAGGCATTTCTCAAAGTCAATGCTAACAGCCACTCTCGGCGAATGCAGGCCTTTGAAGCATCCCCAATGTGGTTGCAAGATATGAAACCTCGCAAGAACATCTCAGCAGCTGTTCCCAGTAGCGTCCATAACTCTTCCAATCAGCGAATGCGCTCCACCGCCAGCCCTGAAGCAGCAGCTAAAATCCCAAAACAGAGTCCACAATCAGGTATGATAAGCATTTTGAGCATTTCAATGTCTTGCTAACCAGCATGCAACATGAGGTTAACTCAAACTGGATCACTGTGATAGGGAAAGGTTGGTGCCCAATATATACATAAATATGCCAAGCATAAGTAATTGAAACTAAATATGATGGGAAACATTTTCAAAAATGTGTTAGAGGCTTAGGAGTCTATATCTCATTGGAAGTCAATGGGACGTAGGCTTCTAGAACCAGATCCTCAAAGATATTTAACACCCAACTTCCATTGAAATCAGTGGGAGTTAGGTGCCTACAGACATTTGAGGATTTGGTCCCTAGTGTTTATCTCATTTCTGAAAATGGGACTTAAACTCCCAAGTCACATAAATGCTGAAGAAAATGTTGCACTGCGTATGCTTTAGGAATGGTTGAACAGAGAATATGCATTTGCCATTAGTCAGTCATCAGAGTGAAGACACTAACATGGCAATGCCTCATTTTCTGTCACACAGAAATTAACCTCTGTTTTATTTGGAAGCTATGAATAACCTACACTGGCGTGAGTGTTTGCCATCTAATATACAATGGTGAATGCTACAATTATACATACAGTGTGACCCTCCACTGTTACATGATAGTGACGGTGAGAGTGAGGGAATGAAGAAATAGAACACACAAATGATTAAAACAAGCTCTTTGGAAATGCAAAACGACCAAAAAAAAAAGTTGTGAAAATTCAGCTGTGCAAGTTAAAGCTTCTGATACTATCTCGCACGATCGTCTCTTAAACCAACTAGGGAAATATAGCCTAGACAAACCTACTATACATGGTTGTACTACTGGTTGGAAAAAACATACTTAGAGAGTAGCTATCAATGGTTCACAGTCAAGCTGGAAGGACATATCGAGTGAGGTCCTGCAGGGATCTGTTCTGGGTCTGGTTCTATTCAATATCCTCATAAATGATTTTGATAATGGCATAGAAAGTACACTTTGATAATGGCATAGAAAGTAAAGTTTGCAAATAATGCCAAGACTGGAGGGGTTGCAAGTGCTTTGGATGACAGAACTAGAATTCAAAATGACCTTGACAAACTAGAGAAATTGTCTAAAATTAATAGGATGAAATTCAATAAGGACAAATGCAATGTACGACTCTTAGGAAGGAATAATTAATTGCACAAACACAAAATGGGAAATGACTGCCTAGGATGGAGTACTGCAGAAAAGGATCTAGGGGTTATAGTGGATCACAAACTAAATTTGAGTCAACAATGTAATACAAAAAAAGAGAGAACATAATTCTGGGACATATTAGTGGGAGTGTTATAAGCAAGACACCAGAAGTAATTCTCCCTCTATACTCAGCACTGATAAAGCCTAAGATGGAGTACTGTGTCCAGTTCTGGGCACCACACTTTGGGAAAGATGTGGAAAAAATGGAGAAAGTCCAGGGAAGAGTAAGAAAAGTGATTAAAAGTCTAGAAAACATGACTTATGAAGAAAGATGAAAAAAGGGTTTGTTTAGTCTGGAAAAGAGAAGACTGAGAGGGGACATAACAGTTTTTAAGTATGTAAAAGATTGTTATAAATAGGAGGGTGATAAATTGTTCTTTTTTAACCACTGAGGACAGGACAAGAAGTAATGGGCTTAAATTGCAGCAAAGGGGATTTAGATTAGACATTAGGAAAAAATTTCTAGCTGTAGGAGTAGTTAACACTGGAACAAATTAGCTAGGGAGTTTGTGGAATCTCCATCATTGGAGGTTTGTAAGAACAAGTTAGACAAACACCTGGTAGGGATGGCTCTTAGTAATACTTACTCCTGCCTCTTTGAAAGGTACTGGACTAGATGAACTATTGAGGTCCCTTCCAGTCCTACATTCCTATGATTATCTGGGTTACATCTAATTTACTGAAAAAGAATGAAGTTGAGCAAGGTTCTTAAGCAGGTGCCTAACCTTAACCATGTAAATAAAGCTGCTCAATTTTTTTCCAATTGAATGTTTTGCCATCAGAAAATGTCATTTCATTGGAACTGAAACTTCCTACGGAAATGTGTTGATTTCCAAAGAAATTCCCTTTTGGGAAATAAATTGGGAAAAATAAGTATTTTGATAAGTCAATACATTTCACTGTGACATTTTTGGAACAGAATGTTTTGATTTTTAAATAAAATAAAGAAATTTCTTTTATTTTATATATATATATAATAAAAATGTAAACATTGAAATGCAATGTTTCAATTTTATTGAAACAAAGTGTTTTGATTGACATGATTACATTTTTTTCCTGTAAATTTCATGTCACAGGAATTTTAGAAATCCTTTGTTTTCATTCAGATTCAGAACAAAACTAATTTCAAAATCACAGAATTTCCTGCAAATCAGAACCTGAAATCCTCAAACAGCTCTATCTGTGAGTAATTCCACTTAAGTCAATGGGACTAGTTAGAAGTTTAAAGGTAGACACATATTTAAGCACCTTGGCCAGAGTGTGGATGCAGCAGGTAATCCATTAAACTATTCTGGTAGCATTTCAGGTATAAAAAATTCACTAATTCAATAATTTATCCAACATTTTGCCCTGTAAGGGCTGTGTCCTGCCAGTGATCTGGAAGCAAACCTCTCATTGATTGTTATGGGCATTCCAAAATCAAAATAACATTCAGTCATAGCTCTCAGAGGGCAAGAAGTATGCTTATCTTCATGCTTCAACATTTTCTCAACATGATATTTATTGTAGACCAAGTACAGACAGTTCTAATAATAAAGTATTATTAATTTAATCTTTTATATTCATGTGTGGTTTCTGATGGAGCAAAGTTTCATGCTCCATTCTCAAAGCCAAATTCCCCTACTGAGGAAAATTGACTTTCACCAGTACTGATTTTGACTCAATATATTTTATGTTGATTTCTCCTAATCAACACGCAAGAGCCATACTGGAACTGACAGTGGAGTCTGCACCAGTAGTTTAACTTTTGAGGATCAAGATCGATTTTCCTCATATTGAGAAGACTGGAGCCTTAATTTTTACTTTCAGTCTGATTTGGTGATATTTTAGACCCACTTTGAATTCACTTTACAGAGGTGTAAATGCCTACACAAGGTACCAGGCAGTGGAGAATTTGACCCTACAAGTCTAGTGATTCCAACTGAGGAAAAGGAGGCATTCAATTTCGGGATATCAGAATGGCAGAACAGAGATAATAGTCATAGGCAGGCACATTGTGGATGATCTTTCTTACTAATGCAATTAATCAACATGTGTCTGCCCTAATTTTCTTATGTGGTTCAAAAGAAAATTAAGCTCTTTTCCCATATCGCAATGTAGTGCTCAAATACAGAAACTGGCAAGAGACAGATATTTTCGTTTTTCATTCAATTTTATGCAGTGAAGGAACCTATCCTAGAGAATGGAAACACTGTTACAAATTAAAATATACCTGCATAATTCAAATATTTGTGATTATATTTCATACAATGGGGTACCCCGGGATACCTTTACTTTTGTTGAGTAGTACCTTGACATCAATGGGACTGCTTGCAGAATAAAGTTTCACTCAGTGTGAGTAATGGTGTCAGAATTTAGTCCAATAATAGAGTAGGGGTTGTTTTACCTTATGACCAACAGTTAATTTTCTCATTGCATTGATAAGCACATTGCAAAGAAATCTGGTCTGTTGAACCTTTTCACTGCTCATGTTCACCCAACATTCTTTTAAGTGTCAGCTTTCAGTTGGCAATAGAGATCTAAAAAGTAGCACTAGAGAATAATTTCTCAACCCAAGGGCAGTCGTTACCATAAAAAAAAAGCATTTGCCAGCTATTACCATTTTAAAGTACCCGAGGTTACCATAATTTCCCCCTATACTCAGGAGAAAGAATATTTGTGGTAACTGTGAGGGGACTGTATAGCAGTGGTTGGTAAATGATAACTTTTTGATGGCTTATTTTGTATGTATGGTTTATGGGCTTTTATATATCTCTGTGGCTCTTGTATATCCGTTATTTATCTCACAGGATGTTGTGAATCTTAATTAGTAAAGTCCACACAGCACGATGAAATGTTTAAATAAAAATGCTATAGATACGTGCAAAGTATTATAATTATAAAAAACAGATACAGAATAGACAGAGAGAGGGTGCACCAGAAAGAACAAAAACATGCATTAAAAAAATACACTGAAGAAGTATTAAGGTCTATTTTAAAATTAAAAAAAAACAGGGAAGCAAAAGTCAGAGCTGTCATAGCTTGACCCTTTGATTTCATATGCCTGGGCTGCTGCAAATGAAGTCTGCCATCAGGGCATAAGAGCAATCTGACTAATATGACAGCCTAATATGCATATATTCAGAAAAAATGTCATATGTAGGTGGAGTGATAGACATTTTCTCTGCATAATTCATAAGAGTGTATCATATTCCAAAGGTAAAATTACACATTTCATATATCACAAGGTCTTGTATCTATAGGGTATCTATAGGTAATGGTGTAATTTTCTAGGGGCAAACTGTGAAATGAATTTGGTTCTATGCAAAGGGGAGTCAAATGAACTAGAGGTACTGGGCCAGATTTGTCATTTCATTGCTGTAAATCCAGAGTAACACCACAGACATCAGTAGAGTCAGTCTAGATTTACACCAGTATAGCTGACCCATTGAAAATGTGCATATCCCAGATATTACTCCCACTCCAAAAATCTGGGACAACATTCCTAGGAAACCTGTGTGCTTCTCAGGATTCACTAACTCAAACACAGAACTAGCTACATCTTAGTAACCCTTCTGCCATCTTAGAAAGGAGATATGTGAAGAGCAACTCCTTTGATGGCTGGGGGTTCAGTATGTAACCTGGGAGGGAGCAAGCAGGGAAGGTGGGTCTTTGCATCTTGTAGCACCAACTGAATTCCTTGAATCAGGAAGACCCAAAGCAAACTTCAGTACCAGGTAGGAGGACAAAGGGAGGAAATAATAACATTCTTGGAATCTGCTGATTCTGGTAAATGGACGTGTCCCTCC